CAAGTACCTCTCATGTTATTTTTATTATCCTCTAATACTTTAGAATAATATTGTTTCTTACATCTCCTCAGAATCTCAATTAATTTGTTCTTGTACGCCTTATATTTTACTTTCATCTTCTTTGATCTGTCCTTTATGAAATCCTTGTATAACGCATTCTTCTTTTTACATGCATTCTGTAATCCTTTATCCACGGTTTCCCACTGTAATTCCTTTTGTTTTTATACTGCTTACGAGGACAGTTCCTGTCATATACTTCCTTAAATATATTTAAAAATTGTTCATATGCTTTGTTAGTCTTCCTCTCTGTAAACTGCTTTCCAGTCCTGCCCCCCTAAGTCCTCCTTAAGCCTCCGTACAGCTTGTTCATTCCTCACCCTCCTATAGAACAGATTTGTTTTTGGCCTCTCTTTTCTAAAATGGCAGTCATAAACCAAAACTACAGGTAAATGATCACTAATATCATTTATAAGTAATCCACTTGTCATTTTGCTTTCAATATCATTGGTAAATATATTATCTATTAGTGTCGCATGCTGGGTTGTTAATCTACTTGGTTTTGTAATTTTTGGGTATAAACTGCATCTTTGTAATGTGTTAATAAACTCCTCCGTTCCTGTGTGCTTGTTAGGATTTAACAAATCTATATTGAAGTCACCACATATGAACATTAATTTATGACTTATTGTCGAATAGTTCTCCTCCATCCAGTCATAAATTTTTTCTATGCTGGCTCCAGGTGCTCTGTAGATACAGCTTATTACAACATTTTTCTTTTTTTCCACGAATATTTCTACAGTCACACACTCCAGCAAGTTATCTACCGCCCTTGACATGTTCTCGACTTTCTCATAACAAAAGTTTTTATCTATGTACAAGGCCACACCACCTCCCATCTTATTCTCTCTATTTGTGCATACCAAGTCATAGCCATCAAGGTCAAAATCCATTCCCCTTACATTATTACATTATTGTTTCAGAAATAGCAATTATATTAAAAGAATGTGTAAGACTACAAAGATAATGCTTAGTATCAAAACACCTCGATATGTTTGTCAGCAAAATGATTAGTGACTTTTGGCGGAAATAGATGGAACATATATGTCTGGATTTAATATACAGTAAGACATCATGAGTGACGTTATTAATGTGGACTAACCATTAGTGGCTTTATTGGGATGTACAACTGAATGTTGTCATAGCAATAAAAATAGAGGACTGAGAACAAATGATGTGGTTAACAGTTAAAAATGCTCTAAATTGAATATGGTAGGGGATAAGAATAGACCCTTGAGGAACACCATAGGAAATTTAAACTTTAGAAATAAAAGTCAATTTGTGCTTCAAAGTTATGAAAAGTTGTATTTAAGGACCAAAATCGGTTAGTCACTTTTACAGTAAGCACTACACTGAGGGCAGTCTTTTTAACTATGGTGAGCTCTAAAACCAGACGGAGAACTCTCATACATACAGTTATTATCCCAAACATTAAGTGATGAGATCTTTTAGTTATTTAAGCTTGCTTTTTACAGTACAGGCAGAATTTGGGCATGTTTAAATATGAGGATTAATAATGAAATACTGAGAAATGTGGGACAATCCATTTACAGTTTCATTCTGGGAAAATGTTAAAACTAAATAGGGCCCTTGGTTGAAAGTTGGTTAGTGCAACAGAGCTTTATGGGGCAGAAGAAGATTACATGGTTTCAGGTAAACGTTGTGCCCTGATGTTGTCCACCTTGTTAACAAGTAAACGCACACATCTGGGGAGTTGGTGTAGCTGTCAGTTATCCTGAATAGGACTGTACTTTATGTTGAGGACTTAGATTAAATTTGTTTTTCTTTGCTTTGAAGGAATTAGAAAAGGAGTAGGTACAGTACATGCATAGTACCTACTCATTATCTGTACAAGAGAGTTTTTTAAAAAATCATTAATTGAACTCATAGTATAAATAGCAAAGAAATGTCTTTATTGCTTTGAAAATAAGTTGAAAACATAACTACCAAATGAAATAGAGCAGCATTTGAAACATGTTTAATCTCCTATGCTGTTATACTAAAGTCATTTGGCAGATACTTTTGTCCAGTGCAACTCACAATGAAAACATTCATCTAAGCCACAGGTCTGGGAAGGTGGCAAAGCAATCATGTATTATACTTTTGAAAAATAAACTACATGCTATGTGGTTTCATTGCTCTCTAAACAAAGGTCTGTTTTGTGTATCTAAAAATTTTGGTCATTTAGGTGTGTTTGTGTACCCACTTGGGGAAATGGAGGTTGTGGTTGGCTTTGAGGCTACGATTGCAGGCCGGCTAGTGGGGGTCCAGATCCAGAGCCGAGGAAAGCTGAAGGACTGCTGTTTGGACTGCTGCTCTGGATCTGGTTTTGAAGGTCACTGTGGGAATGGCCGAGAGTGGAGCTGCTGTGGGAGCTCCAGCCACGACATGCAATGCACCAGCGGTGAGGAGGGAGGATACAGGAATGTAGTGAAGGGAAAAAACTATAATGAGGTGCCTATATATTTATGTGATGTGATGAAATAAACTACAACAATTAAAATTATATATATATATATGCTAGAAGTCATTGTTTCTCTGTTCTGCAGACACTCAAGCTGTGAGGAATATATGAACAAGAAGAAACACTTTTTTTAAAATACAAAGGAAAAAATGACCTTTCACCTTAGAAGAGTAAAGCTGTGAGATTTCCTGTATTTTGCTTTTAGATGAAAACAATCTTTTCAGCTTCTGAACTGGTCTGGTCTGCATGAATACAAATAGCTACAGTACAGTATGTCTCTTCTCTGTCCTGTATTAGCCTCTCTGAAGATAGAGAGGACAGACAAGGGGGTAGCTACATCTGGCTATATGCCTAATGGTGAGGTAGTGCTCTCTTAGTAAAATATGTCATCTTGAAGTGCACAGCATTTTATTGGAAACAGTGGTGTCATGTATGTGGAATAAATTTTCCTAATAGAGTCAACCTCTGAGATTTTTCAGTTTTTATTTTTATTTCAGGACATGCTTATTTACATTGTCACCTGGTTAAATAGTTTTATTATGTAAGAATATACTTTATATTTTTAGGGCATCTCATCCTGGATGAAGACCTTGAAAGAACCACCTTCATTGTGGGAACAGGGGTCATTGGCCCCATGGACATAGTGTCCATTATCATAAGCACCACACTAGAACTCCCCACACTAGAAAATGGAGCAGTCCGTATTGTCTACCCCACACTGCTTACTCCGATCATCACTCGCCAGATGACTCCCAGCAAGAGTGAAAATGGGGTGAAATCAGAAGAAACTGGGTAAGCAAAGCAGACTTGTATTTATATTGCAATTTACTGTGGCAACACTATTTTACCTGGTGTTTCGCATTTCAAATAGTCTAAATAATCTACATTGCTGTCCTCTTCAGAGCAACCAGCTGTTTCGGTGTCCCCTCAGGAAAACAGCACCGGGTGCTAGACTCTGAGCAGCAGTGTGCCTATGCCATCTTCACCAGTCCAGCTACCAACCTGGCACCCTATGAACTCAGCTTCCAGCTAGTGGTCAGAGGGGCCTGCCTGTTGGCTGGTACAGCCTGTCTTCTCAAATAACTTTGATTTAGTGCTTCTTGACTCAGCCATTGTGAAATATAGGAAGAGTGGGCAATCTCATTGCATAGCAAAATTGTTTTTACAGGAAGGGCCTGTGTCCAAATGCAGCCCGAATACAAAATCTAAAAAGGACAGGAGGAGGAATTATTCTCCTCCACTAGTGTGTGTGCTAAAGAAATGGAAAAAACACATTCAAGTTACTACATAATATGGCTAACTTGTATAAATCTTTAAGACGTCATCAGTACTTATTAACAAAGTCATTAAAACCTATCAAAATCTTTGCTTCCCTTTATTTCTTCCTAAACTGATGTGTAGGGCTAGAGAGCCCCACCCATGCTCTGAGGGCAGATGCCGACCCCAGTGCCCAAAGTGCCTCTGCCACCTACATCACCTTGGCACAGGAGCATCCATATGATAGACACATAGAGATCATTCTGCACCTCAGTGGTGAGCAATGGAAAATTTCCTATTTGCATTTTTTCTTTTGTTTATTATTGAATATATCTTGTGTTCTCAAACACTTTCACAGAACCTCACAGCCCGTTGGTCATCTTAGAGAAAGGCAAACTCTCATTCAGCCAATATGAACAGCAGATCTGTTCTCGTCGTGACTTTATTCGATGCACCCGTAAAGATTCAGAACCAGGGAGAAAGGTAGGTGGATTCTAACTCTAATTGGATAAGCACCAATTAGAGCACTACACTTTATATACTGTACATCTTTGCTGGTTCTGTTAACTGCATAAAAAGGCAATAAAAGCTGACATGCTGATGTTTCACCTCACCTGCAGCTGGAGTTTGTGCGGAAGCGGTACCACAAGGACATTCTAAGCAGCCCTGTCTTGATGCTGAACTTCTGTCCTGACTTGCTGTCTGAACCTCTGGAGCTGCACAAAGCCACAAGAGAACTACTTTTCCTTGTAGATCGCAGCGGCAGCATGAGTGGCACCAACATCCACCGTGTAAAGGTGAACTGCAGTAAAAAAGAAAAAAAAAGCGTGGTTTAGTTCTATGCTTTAGGAACCTACATTGATCTGGCTTCATCCTATCTACACAGGAAGCCATGGCAGTGGCGCTGAAGAGTCTACCCCCTGGCACCATGCTCAATGTTGTGGGTTTCGGCACCACCAACAAGCCTCTGTTCACCTCTAGCAAGCTCTGCACTGATGTTAGTTTCACATGACAACCAAGCTCAGAATGGAAATAAAATGAATCTGTCTTGTTTAACGGGCTTTCAGGGAAAGTAATCGTGTGTTATAGTCAAATCACGTGATACTTTAAATTACATGGAGCATTTAGATTGTGTTTCTCAAAAGCATGCTTTTCACCCATGTAGGACTATCTCGTCTGTTTTCTCTACTCTCTAATCAGGCAATAGGTCAGGTCTTTGGGTTGCCTTAGTAGCAGAGTATCAGGTTTTATCCAGAACAGGGGCTGCAAGGGCAAAGAGACTTTGCACATACACTTCACCATATGGTGACCTTTCATGCTTTTCACTAGTGCAGGACATGTCTCCTCTACTGCCAGGTATGTTACTCCACAGTGTGATTTAAGGCAGTTTTAAGGCAAGTGCTAATGTGTGCATGTTTGCTCTCTCTTTATTAAGGAAGCACTGATTCAATTCTTTGCTAGCCTCACAAGTTAATTGGGGAATCTGATATTGAACAGTGACTTTATCTTGACAACATAGGTGATGTTTACACAGGGGTCGTCATGAAACTTAATAGGTGTTGTTGTCTGGTACTTGCTTCTCTGTAGCTCTGTCTGCCTCTCCAATTTTCTTTTTCTTTACAGGTCACTCTAATGCAGGCATATGAGTATATCCAGAGGATGAGAGCTGATATGCGAGGCACCAACCTGCTTGAGGTGCTGTCCTGGGTGTACCAACAGCCCATGCAATGCTCATATCCTCGCCAGGTCTTCATCATTACAGATGGATCCATCAGTAATGTAGCCAAAGTGCTGGAGTTGGTCCGTAGAAACGCATGTGCTGGCAGGTATGGAGCCCCAAAATTAAATGATTAGATATTTAACCCATGGAATTAATGTGGGAAGAATAGTACAGAGTTACCAGATAGATATAGGAGGCAAATACAAAATGAAAATGAATTTAAATAACTGGTTAAAGATTTGTTCAGCTGCTGGCATTTGAGAGGACATTAAATCGCTCAGGGAGACAAGGAAGCCGAGAGGGATGGAGTACAGTAAGCGTGGGCAGAACAAGGTGATAAATATGACAAGCATAGTGTTGGGGAGGAAAAAGAGGAAACAGAAGCCATCTTAAAGAACTGAGAGCAATGCACTGTGAAAGAAAAGAGAGGGCTGAGGTATTTTTCAGCCCCACCCAGTAATCCCGTTAAGTGCTCTCCTCCCCCTCCTCCTGCAGTAAGAGGCACACCCCTCTGGTTTTCTCCAGACCTTTCAGCAGTGCACAATAACTCCATTTATCCCTCATCTGTATTCTCCTGTTGGACTGACTTTCTCCACTGTATTTTGGCTGTACCTCAGCAAACTACACCAAACATCCATTTCTTTTTTCTTCTGTAATACACCCAATTTCAGCGATTGATAATAACATTGCAGTCTACATCCAGAAAAGGTGTTTGTTCATTTGGTTTTATATCATTATGGTTTTTCTGTCCTCTGACTTTGGCAGTGCTAACAGCATCTAGCCATCCAGGCAGACCTGCATTCAACATCTCCACCCTTTCACTTATTCTGTCCCCTGCTCTTTTCAAACTCTCAATTAGCCAAATAGCTTGTAATCATTGCAAGTGTTCAAATAACAGTTCTGTCTGTTTAATGACTTTAAATTTTCTTTTTCCTGGTTTCAGAAATAGATACTGTACTTTTGTAAGTCCCAATTGTTACAGGAGGCTTGATTTGTTCTGACAGTAAATCCAAGTGAAAGACATGCACTGCATGTACAGTGCAGGCACAATATAGCATCAGGAGGCACTCAGTAATGGTAGAAAGGAAAAATAATTCTCACATAACTGTGGTGTTATGATTTACACTTCTCAGGGATGTGATAAAATTGTAATGTATAGTATATATCACCCTGGCAGATGCTTTGGTCTGGGCCTGGGTCCTCGAGCCTGCAGGAGACTCCTGCAGGGCGTTGCCAAACTGACAGGAGGGACGACGGAGTTCTTGGATGATGAGGAGAGACTCCAGCCGAAGGTCAGCAGCACTGCAGCACTGCCACCTACTGGAGAAAATGTGCAGTTCAGAATAGTTATAATGTTAAGTTAGCTAATATAGTTAAGTCTCTTTGGGAGATACAAACATGAAACTGTGGCTGCATGAACCTTTCAACAAATCACGTGCCATTAGCAGTGGCAAAGTAACTAAGTACAGTTAATCAAGTACTGTACTTCAGTGATTTGTACTTCTGAGTAGTTTCTTTTTCTGTCACTTCTACAATATTTTTGAGAGACATTTTATACTTTTTCTCCACCAAATTTATCTGACTGCTATACTTTATAAATCAAGATGTTACATCTGCAAGTTCATACCTTACAAAGTATAATGCATTGCTTGCAGTGGTAAAGATTAAACCAGTGGTTCCCCTGACTTTTTTTTTTTTTTGCATGGACCACTTACAAATAAGTGAGTATTTGGGACCCCCTTCCACATTCAGATGTCTTTGAGTTGTTAGCTTTTCCACCAAAACAGTTTTCCTCTCTAAACTGTACTCAGTTCAGATGGCTTCATTTAAATAACTGTAAGATCGTTTTTCCTACACCATGAATCATCTCACAACTCCTTATATTTTTCTAGGGACAACTTATAGCCTGGAAACCACTGTCTAAGTAGTACAGCAGTAAAATTCTACTTTTAGTACACAATGTTGAATGAGTATTAGCTAATTATGTAATATAAAATATTAGTGGCATGGCCCATTTATCTGCAGAACAGGTGCTTTTACTTACTTTGCACTTCTTTTCAGTACTGTACTACAATTTTAAATACAAGAATTTTATAATTCTTTTGTAATTAAGTTTTTTTTTTCTATTATTAATAAAACATTTACTGAAGTATAGAATCTCAATGCCTGGCCACTGGCCAGTAGTCTTTTTTAGAGAAACTGTAACGCCTTTAGTTTAAAATGTGTCAAATTTGTCTCCTCAGTTAGTAAAGTCTCTGAAAAAAGCCTTTGAACCTGTGCTCACCGACATACGGATTGACTGGTATCTGCCAGAAAATATGGAGGCTCTTCTTTCACCCAATGAAATCCCTCCTCTCTACCCTGGGAATCGCCTCATTGGATATTGCACTCTGTATGATATGACAACTTTTAAAGCAAAAAAGACAGAGGTATATTTCTACATTTTCCAAAAGAACCACAGAGGTTGACTGTATGTGTCTGCATCAGACAGTATCTCTAATGAGTCTTATTTTACAGTCTCAAGGGCTGGACTATAAAGGTGTACATATTGGCTCCACGAGTTCTGTTTTTGGCCAATCTGATGACAAGCTTTCACCAGCTCCTGCCTCTGAGCTGATGCCTGTGGTGACCAGTGCAGATGGCAATGACTTGGAGGAGGCACAGAGAGAGATCTCCAGAGAAATCTCCTCTGAGTTCTCCTGTGCCAGAGACACAGACCCTGGCATCAGCCCTGGTCAGTTGCCCATCAATGTGAGACTTATATTTGCCTGCTAGATGCTTTTTGCCATAGTAGGTAATAGTTTGGCTCTTGTCCACTCTAGGTGTGGAGTTAGACTGGTCCAGTGATGTGAGGAGGAGGATCCAGGAGAGCTCTTACATCCAGGAGCAGTATGTCCTCACTCACTGCTCCCTCAGCAGTGAACGGAGTCTACAGACAAAGTCCCGCTCGCATATACACACCACATCCCACTCTGACTCTGCAGGCTGTGTGTTTCTGCCTGACCCTCGCTCGTCTGGTTCAGTGCTTGATACAGGGTCTCTACCCCAAGGCCTTGAGAAGATGCCCCAGAGATCATCTCTGTCTCGATGGGCAGACTCTGCCTGGCGACAAAACCTCTCGGCTGAAACACCTGACAGCGTGAGAAAAAAGGTACGATTGATTCACCCTGAAGCACTTTCTGTAGCCCTTCAAGCTACTGTACCTGTTGCAGTCTAACCTAATGTTTGAACCTGTTTGATTTTCATTCTCATACAACCAGAATGGACACCTGGATGGAGGTGAGGAGTTTCGTAGGAGACAAAAAACACTGGCGCATTCAACCATGGCAGCACGGAGTTTCTCATCCCCCCAGGGTGAGCTGGAGATGCATCGCCTCAGGAGAGCTCTGGAGAGGGTCTCCTTTGACCAAACACTGGGAGGGAGGCTGGATGAAAGTGACGGGGAGATGAAGCCCCCATCACATGGGACACTGTCTCATGAAAGCCTCACTGACTCCAGTAAGCTAGAGTCTCAGAAGCAGGGCTATCTTTCCTATTTAGCATCCATCCACCTTCTATCCCATTCTTTCTCACTCTAACTTTCAGATGGACTACTGTTCCCTGCCTCTCCCATGGACTGGGACAGCTTCACAGACCCTGAGTACTTCTTCACTGCTGTTCCCCCAGAGGATCCTCCTCCGGATCAATGCTGTTCCCTCATCCATGGTCTCCTGAACGGTCAGCCTGTGTCATGGGAGGGCACCTTGGACCTAGGACACCTCTGGACCCTGGAGGGGAATGAAACAACAGGAGGTGAAGGATGTGGAAGAGGAGGAGGAGAAGAAGGTAGAAGAGGGGAACCATGGGGGGAGATCATTCACCACCTGACTGCTCGCTCAGTTATAAGGGACTTTGAGAAAATGGCAGAGATGGAAAGCGACAGTGGATGTGGTCAGGGTATACTGATGACTTCTCTTACTGACCAATGTACTGTTTTCTCCTAACTATAATACATGCGGACTATCTCTTACTGTTACTGTTGTTGTATTTCATGTTTCTTAGGTTCAGCTAAGAGATACCGCATGAAGGCCATCCAGACCAGTAAGCACTGTAACATCATCTGCATGTACACAGCCTTCACTGCTACTGATAGCAACGCCAACAAAGGCTTGCCAGACAGCATGGATGTCAAAAACACAGGTGTGCTAACAACTAACACACACGTTGACAGAATCTGAGCAATTATTTTAAGTATTTGAGGGCCCTCAACCAGTGTTACAGCCAATGTGTACTATCTAACCTGTGAAAATACATTGTTTTTTTGTTGCACTGTATGGTACTTTCTGACTTAGTAACCCAGATGATGTCATTAAGGTTATTTCAGTCTGGGTTTAATGCTTCAAATTTTAATCTGAAGACCTGTGCCACAATCTTGGGACAAGGTTGTTGACTTCTGCTAGATTGGGAGGGTCTATTTATAAACACTACTGAGTTGAATTAAGTGTTTTTGACCTATAGTCTGGATTAAATGTCAGGATATCTCAGCCAGTGCTTAGTTTAAGATTAGTTACTTCACTTTTTGTTTTTTAAATATACAGTACATCTTGCCAATCCCCCAGTGTAACAAGAGTGCACCTTTAATATTTATTATTTTTATGGAGACATAAATATTGTTGAGCAGCTGCTTCATAGCATTCAGTGTTTATACAGTTTGTTAAAAACATGAAAATATAGTACAGTATACACATTTTATATCATATAAGACACCAGTAGAATTATGTACAGTAGTCATGCAAGCTGCCATTTGAATATCACTAATCTTGTGGTGTGTGTGTGTATGTGTAGGGATGCATTTGGGGAACAGGCTAGGTTTCCAGTCAAGCAGTTGCAGGCAGAGGGCCTATTCCATTGGTTTGGGCAGGCAGCAAAACAATAGAGATGGTGAAGACATGGAGAATATCTGGAACTCTACAGGTAGGCAGACTGAATGAGACAGCCACCCATTTCTTTTCTCAAGACTCTAGGTCATCAACAATCTTTGTGTGTCTCAGACAGAAATGACAATCCTGCCTCACCCTGTAGCCTTGCATCCTGGGAGTCTCGTAAGTGCTGCTGTTGACTCTCACAATGAAAACACTAGTGTCAGTCCAGTCTGACACTAAGCCGGCACAAGATTCGAGGCGAGTCTGTATGGAAGAGGAAAAAGCAGAACTGCTCTCCTTGACTTGATTATACACCAAAGATCAATTCACCCAAATTATCTCTAATGGGATTTACTCAGGTGTTGAAATATTAGACTAATATTTCTTCCTCCTCCCCAGTACAATGCAAATGAATTGGAGTGGACATTTTTGTTTTTATTGCTAACAGAAGTGAACAATTACATTTAACAAAACCGCAATACCAAGATTTCTTTCCCAGAAATATTTTCTAACTTTACTCAGAGGTGGAAAGTAACTAAGTACATTTACTCAAGTACTGTACTTAAGTACAGTTTTGAGGTATCTGAGTATTTTCTTTTTTTTCTTTTGCTCCTTTATACTTCAACTTTACAACATTTTAGAGGTTAATATTTAACGTTTTACAGCACAATTTTTTTATCATGTTACTTTTCAGATG